GGAGAAAAAGATCAGTTGAAATTCGTTAAGCTGAGAAAAAGGTTTATATCCGGTATTTACATTTTCGGTAACTTGTGAGAAAGTTAAAAATGGCAGGAACGAGCTCTTCTTCACTCCCATTACCAGCAGTGTTTAATGGTGAAAATTATGATTTTTGGTATGTCAAAATGAAGGCTTTTTTGATGGCACATGATCTTTGGGCAATGATTGAGCAAGGGTATGAACCACCTGAAGTTGATGCTAACTATACAGTGGCACAGCTGAAGCAGCAGAAGGATCAATCCATGAAAAATATGAAAGCACTTTCATTCTTGTACACAGCAGTGTCTGAAGAGATTTTTCCCAGAATTGTCGCTGTGTCTACAACCAAAGAAGCTTGGGACAAGCTTGAAGAAGGGTTCAAAGGCTCAAAAAAAGTAAGAGCTGTAAGGTTGCAAGCCTTGAGCAGAGATTTTGAAAATCTTAGAATGAAAGAAGCTAAAAAAATTTAAGGACTACACTTCAAGAGTTGTGGATGTTGTTAATCAACTCAAACTAAATGGGTAGAAAGTTTCTGACAAAGGAGTGCTAATCACCTTGCCTGAGAAGTTTGATGCTATAACAACAGCCATTGAGCACACAAAAGAGACTTGTCAAATCTCTCATTAGCAGAACTTACAGGAGCTCTATTGTCTTATGAGCAAAGACAAACAGCAAGGGCAGAAAAAATTAGTTGAAGGAGCTTCTACTACAAAATACAAGCAACAATACTTAAGAGGAAGTGGTGAAAAAAGGCAATATGATGAAAAAAAGAGAAGAGGGGACAGCAGTAGCAAACAAAGAATGACCAAAGACAGTCGAGATACATATCCTCCATGTGGTATTTGTAACAAAACAAATCATTTGGAAAAGTATTGTTGGAAGTCTAAACAGTGTAGATAGTACAAGAAATTTGGACATTTGGAGAAGTTTTGCAGAGATAAACTACAAAATCAAACACCAACAAAACATCAGTCAAGACATCAAAATTAGCAAACTTCACTTGCTCATGGAAAGAAAGACGAGGATCACTTGTTTCTGGCATTTCATGTGACTGATATGGTGGAGAAGGATTCTTAGTTCATTGATACAAACCACATGACAAGTAAGGAGGAGATCTTTTGCAATCTGAACTCTAATTGCAAAGCTACAATTAAAATGGAAAATGGAGAAGTTGTCTCAGCTAAAGGAATGGGAACCATTGCTATCCAAACAAAAAAAGGAACAAGGTACATCAATAATGTTTTACTTGTACCTGGTTTAAGTTCAAATTTGTTATGTATGGGTCAAATGGTTCAAAATGGTTATTCATTGCATTTCAAAGATCATTTGTACAAAATGTGTGATTCACATGATGTTGAAATAGCATGTATGCCCATGAAAAACAAAAGTTTCAGTATATACTAGCAAAGTGTTATTGCAAATGCTACTGAAGTTAATTTTGATGAGACAAATTCGTAGCACAAAAGATATGGTCATTTTAATTATAAATCTTTAGTCTACCTACATTCACATGGTATGGTAAGAGATCTGCCTCAAATTCAAGAGCCGGAGGAGTATGTGAAAGTTGTAATTTTGGGAAAATGAATAGAGAATCATTTTCCAACTGAAGGTACATACAAATATTTGTGGGCCTATGAAAACACCTTCATTGAGTCAAAATTTGTATTTTGTGCTCTTCATTGATGATTTTACCAGAATGTGTTGGGTGTATTTTATGAGGAACAAGTCAGATGTGTTTTATGTTTTTAAGAAATTCAAAGCACATGTAGAAGCACAATCAGGCTGCAAAATTCAGGTGTTGAGATCAAATAATGGCAAAGAGTACACATCAACAAAGTTTGATCAGTTTTGTGAAGAAAATGGAGTTCATCATCAACTCACCATTCCTTACACTCCACAGCAAAATGGAGTGGTTGAGAGGAAAAATATATCAGTCATGGAGATGGCTAGATGTATGCTAGCTGAGAAAGGACTACCAAAAATGTTTTAGGCTGAAGCAGTGTATACTTCTATTTACCTACATAATAGACTCTCAACTAAGGCTGTGAAAGATAGGACTCCAATTGAAGCTTGGAGTAGAATGAAACCCACAGCAAAACATCTCAAAGTGTTTGGTTCATTGTGCTATATTCATGTTCCAAATCAAAAGAGGAGTAAGTTGGACAACAAGGCAGAAAAAGGAATCTTTCTGGGCTATAGTTCTCAATCAGAGGGCTGTAGAGTGTACAATCTGGAAAATAAAAGAATTTCAGTGTCTAGAGATGTTAAAGTTGATGAAAATGCTAAATAGAATTGGGAGGAAGTCAAGCCACAACAATGTTCTATTCTTTTTCCAATTGTACAGCAGAACACTCCTACTGCAGTTCCTGAAATTCAGCCACCTATGGTAGAGTCAAGCTCCTCGAATGATGGTCCATCTGAGTCTTCTTCTAGCTCTAGTCCACCTCCTAGAGGAACTAGACCTTTGAATGAAATTTATGAAAGATGCTATATGGCAATTGTTGAGCTAAAATAGCTATGATGAAACAGCTAAACATCCTGAATGGATTGAAGCTATGCAAGAGAAAATGAAGATGATTAAAAAAAATCAGACTTGGATGTTGGTGCCAAGACCTACAGACAAGAAAGTGATTGGAATGAAATGGATTTACAAGGCCAAAGTAAATCCTGATGGTTCAATCTACAAATATAAAGCAAGACTTGTAGCTAAAGGATTTGCTCAAAAAAGTGGTGTTGATTACTTTGAAACTTTTGCTCCAGTTGCAAGACATGACATAATCAGGTTGTTAATTGTCTTGGCTGCTCAAAAGAGATGGAAAATACATCAATTGGATGTAAAATCAGCTTTTCTCAGTGGAGAACTTGAAGAATATATCTTTGTTGAACAACCGAAGGTTTTCACTCAAAATCAGATTCAGATTATGTATGCAAGCTAAAAAAGGCCTTGTATGGATTGAAACAGGCTCCAAGAGCTTGATACAGCTAAATTGATGGATATCTATGTGGAAATGGATTCCAAAGAAGTGAGAGTGAACATACACTCTATGTTAGAACATATTGCTACTCCAATGTTTTGATCATCTCATTATATGTTGATGATTTGCTAATCACAGGAAATACTTGAAGCAAATTGACTCATTTACTCGTGAATTTGAGAAGGAATTTGAAATGACAAATTTGGGAGAAATGAAGTACTTTCTTGGCATTGAAATTGAGCAAAAGACTAATGCTATCTTTATTTCATAACAAAAGTATGCTGCTAATATTTTGAAGAAGTTTAAAATGCTGAATTGCAAATCAGTTGACACTACATTGGCCATGAATCCTAAGTTGTCCAAAGAAGATGGAGATCAGACAATAAATGAGAAGGAATATAGAAGTTTTGTGGAAAGTTTGTTATACTTGACTGCAATAAGACCAGATTTGATGTTTGCTGCAAGTTTACTCTCCAGGTTCATGACAAATCCTTTACAGACACATTTTGTAGCTGCTAAAAGAGTCCTCGGATACATTAGAGGTACTATCAATCATGGGACTTTGAAGGAGGAGTTGGATCAGATTTATTGGGATATTTAGATAGTGACTGGGCTGGTTCTGTAGATGACATGAAAAATACTTCTGGATATTTATTCACTCTTGGATCTGGTACATTTTGTTGGAATTCAAAGAAGCAAGGAATTGTGGCACAATCAACGGAAAATTAGGTCATTTGGTTAAGGAAAATCTTAAGTGATCTGCATCAAATTCAAGTCAATCAAACTACAATTATGGTTGACAATCAATCTGCAATTGCTGTGGCAAAAAATTCAATAAATCGTGGAAGAACAAAGCATATAAAAGTGAAGTTTCATGCCATCAGACAAGCTGAGAAAGAAGGAGAAGTCAATCTGCAATTTTGTCCATCACAAGTTCAATTGGTTGATTTGTTTACAAAGCCTTTAGCAAAAACTCGTTTTGATGATTTGAAGCATCAAGTTGGAGTGTTACACAAAAGCTTCAAGGAGGAGAATGAAGGATGTGAAGCTTTTATTTAAAACTCCTAACTTATTTTATTATTTTGTCTACAGTAGAAAGTATGTACCCTGCAATGACCATGCTGAACTGATTGATAATGTATTCAATTG